TCACCGGTAGCGCAGCATTTTCTCAACTACCAGTGAACTGAGACAAAAGAAGGTTTAAATGGTATAAAACATTTTTTTAATTAAAATGTAAAAAAAAAAAACCCTTTTCACTTGTTATTTATATACCTGTAAACACATCCATGAAGAGGTATTTACACTGCTATAGTGACAACTTTCAAAGCACTACGATGTTGCAACAAAAGGAGCTCGGCGCACATGTCAATTGCTCGATAATCGCAGCACGAACACGACAACGTTCCAATCAATTATTTTGCACGGTAATTGTCAAGAATTTCTCACAAATTATACGATTGATCTGCTTGTCGGTTTATTAGTGGTAACAGTAAAATAAAGACTAAAGATTCATGTGACACAATTAAAGTGATTTCGAATAGATATTTTGCTATTAATACAAAGTAATCACAGTATTTCACTTTTCAATAATCATCGCCATACTCTTCATTGAGAAGTTTTCGATGCTCACTACGATGTTTGCGACCGATTGAACACAGATCAACCAAATCAATCTTCAAAAAAACTTGAAAATTTGCACAGATAAGTCAAGAAAATTGATAACTAGGAACAGAGTATAGTTTAAATTGGTGTTGCACTTGCATCCGTTCAGTAGAATCACTAAGACTGTTTGCTTATACGATATGTGGAATTCCGCACAATTGTGTCCAAAATAGATTCACAATGCCAGAATAGTCTGACCGCTTCGGACATTTTATTCTCATTGTATCGTTGGTATTCCTACTACACATAAGTAGCTTAAATTTACTGAAATTTAAATTTATTAAAACTTGGGATAATCTTACTAACATAGGTTTACTTGTTGAAAGTTATTCATTTAAATAAAAATAAGTCGCATCACTCACCATTTTTTTGGCTGATTTCAATCTAATTTGTTTTTCCAAATCATTTTGAACGATCCTCTCACTAGTTTTCAAATCGTCATGATTACTTTCTTTATCACGATTACTCATCCTGCAAGGATCGCATTGTTCATTGATAAATAGTTTCGGACTTGTTACCTTTCTTCGTATAGCCAATGAAACCTAAAAGGCATGCCTTTTAGTGAAACTGCTGACAGTCTGTTTGATCTTAATACAAACAGAAAAATAATGCATTAGACCTCTTTTTTATCGTTAGCTATTGCTTAGTACGCTTTGAGGAGGAGCTAACTTTTTTGGTACCGTATATTTTGCAATACCTTTCGTAATAATTTATCAGTACGGTTATAATCGCCATTAACAGTTGGAGCAGTAACAGTAGAAGTGGGTTCAACATGATATATCGAACTCGGTGAAGTAGTGGCTGGACATGTTGTTGCTGAAAAAGATGCACTTGTGGTATAGCCATTTGGAATGCTCCTTGTCCGAACCGTTTCACCGTAGATTCTATAATTTGTTATGTTGGTAAAACCAAACAGTTCAGTTCAGTTCAATTCATAAAACCATTTATTTTTTAAAATCTTTAGATTGAAACAAAATTAAGGCGTCAAAAATAATCTTACAACTCACATATCATAGGCCGGATTCACACTAGCAATTTCTGTTTTATCATTAAAATCAACATCACTTGCATATTCATCAACCACCACCAAACGTTTTGCTGTTCGTTTATAAGAATGCTCATTCAAACGCCTTGTCATCATTCGTTGCAGCGCTTCCATATTGTTAATTTTTTAACCGCCCTTTAGGATACTAAAAACAAAAGAAACCAAAAATACCACAAAACAACGATAATTAATCACACAAAAGTTCCCTTACAATTTGAAAGCAAATACAGCAATAATTAAGGAAAAGTAAATCTAAACTCCAATAACTCCATGAGAGGTGAAGAAGCAAATTCTTTTATATAGAGATGATTCAGGTCACAAGGTTCATTCAGACGTGTATATATACAAGCGATTTGGAAAACGATTCATTGGTGAATGGACGTATTTAAATCAACAAACATTTTTTTAATGAATGGTGTTTGGATGATATTTTAACTGATGTTTCATTAACAGAAACATTTTTCGAGCGCATTTTAATTTTCCAGTATACAGGCATTTTTTTTACAGCAAATTTTTTACAAGTTGAGCAAATTACCAGGCTTTCAAATTTTTTGGATCGAGAATACTAGTTTTATGGTAGCAAAAACAGAGCTTATTTAAATCTGAATTAATATAATCATGAATTACAATTAATGTGGTGAACATATAATAGTTTAAAAATATAAAGAGACGGTCAATAGTACTTAATAGCAAGAAGAAAAAGAATTATATAAGCAATAAACGGGAAAATAGGCGTATAACACCTAACAAAGACTGTAAAAGTTAGTAATTATAGCATAGGTGTTGTATTCACAGTCAAATTAGGAAAGAAAGAAATTCATTCATAGCTTTCATAGGAGATGAATAAGGAAAACTAGCAGATATTATAACAGAAAATATGAAAATTGAAACAGAGTTGCATTTGCTCCAAGAGAGAAGAAGGTAAAAAAGGCTAAAAATCACTTCATTGCTAGCTGCAATACACGCAGCTGTTAGTAGCAATGAAAATTTGCAGAAAAAGACCGAGGAGAAGTGCAGAGAGAAGATCGTAAATTAATGAAAAGAATGGGGAAACGAGGAAAGTGGAAGATTGTAAACAATTGAGATTTTCAAACGTTATTGAAAGTTATCTGTGCGAAAAATCAGATAAGGCTTTCAAGATTTATCTGAACTGCAGGAAGACAACCCGATGCTAAATACGAACACGAAATAAAGTAGAGAGAGTCTTCTCCTAGTATTTACTCTGATTACATAAATTGATGGCGGCAAGGAAAACAAACATGGACAATTGTATAAGACAACAAATGACCGGTTCCTATGAAAGACGTTTTTTTGCTAAAGGATTGTGATTTTTTATGTATTTGTGAGATTATCTGCCAAAATATTACATGGGATGAACGAAGACACACAAACAATTCCTTAGGATCAAAAGCTCTAGATTTAGGATTTAGGAGCCCGTGTTTTGAGGCGTATGTCAAAGTGCATTTTAATTGGTTGTTCAAGCATAATTACAACTCGAGCACAAGTCCTAAGAAATCTTTTGTTGGAAGGCTATTATTCGCTTACAACTTCCTTCCACTATTTTCTACAGATCAAAATATCTATATCTACCTGTATTTTTATTACTGATAGAATAATCATCATCATGTTCACATTGGGAGCAATATTGTTTCATTACAATAATCCAAGATGAATTCCATCTTTGTCACCTATTTTGAAGATCTACTAATCACTGATATTGTTTCTATATGCGTTAATCTGAGCTCATTTCTAATCATGTGGAAAGTCCAGGTATTCATCAGGTATAACTTACTGTTGTAGTGATAATATCGTTACATACCAGATAAATTCTACATCGATCTTCTGGAGGAAATCCATTGTCAATCAGAAAAAATTTTTTTAAGTTAAAGTCACTCAAGTAGCTAGTGATTCAAATGGCATAGCTTCAGCCAGTTATTTCACTTGTTTCTACAATTAGCCTTAAAAGTATCCGCCGTTTTGCCTAAATTGTTGCTATTTTCAAATGAACAAGACATCCGAACTGGATTTCGTGGCAGAATAATGTAAGACCATGTTTGAGAATGGAAAAGGATGAACAATGCCTTTTTAACTATTTTAAAGAACGTTAACCCTTGTCGAATTCATGATTACATCTGAATCAAGCATTCTGCTTCAAAACACAATAAAATGGACGTTCACTCGCTCCCATACCAATGTTTTCACCTTGCTATTTCATCTTCATTTTTCCATATTTATTCATTCTATTTTAAGCACTATCTATCTCATTAGTTACTCATTTATTATTATATATATATATATTTATATATATTAGTTCTTTGGTTTTCAAATTGATTGGGAATTCCGACAAGTACAACTCTTTCTGATTGTGAAGTAACTGAAGAAGGAAAGAAAAAAGCATCCTTTAATAATTATGACATCGTCAAAAACTGATGATAGTGCAGAACAACCTCTTTGAAACATTTCATAAAATGGCACTGCGCTATCGATGTACTTTTATATATATATATATATATATATATATTAAATACCAATGTAAGAATTAAATATGAAATAATGCAATTTCAATACAAACATTAGTTTTGAAGGAAGGATAAACATATGCATTACTTTGCATTCAATTCATCCGACTTACTTAAATCGAGCAGTAAATGATTTAACAGTTCAGCTTCAGATTACCCAACTCACAAACGAACATCTACCTAGTGAATTTTTGATAGCATTAAAAATAACCAGTCGATATAAGACGTTACTGTCTACTGATAAAAGTGTGATTAAAATGAGAAACTAACTTACAAAGCTGATCGAACTTACAGAGTCAATTATATTTGTAGTAAGAATTATACAAAACCGGTTGTGTGAACATCGTTACAGTGGTATAGTGTGGGGCTTCGTTGAATGACTTGTCGAAAAACTGAGAGACAGGAAGTTTTGTGTGGTGCACATCAGAGCATGTAAATCAAGTAGGAGGATTATTTGTGTTTGACAACAATAGCGCGTCCCATCGTTTCGGTACACACTGATTAATGGAAAATCCAAATACAGTTCTATTAACACTTCTGCCACAATACAATATGATAAATGGATTCTGATTTTTACAAGAATATGTGAGGGGCGGAAAAAAATGAAAAGGACTTGTGAGCAACTTTTTTTCATTTATTAATGAGTAAGCTCCAGACATTTTTGTTCTATGAAAAAAAGTTAGCACAATAGTAATGGCAAATTGATGGGCAGTTTGCTTTTGTAGAATGTTTAATTTATGACTAATTAATGGAAAATCCAAATACAGTTTTCTTGAAATTAGTACCAAAATAGTTTTCTGAGAGAGTGGATTTTGATTGTAACGAATGTCTGCAAAGGATGCTTAATATCAACAAAACTAAAAAAAGGTGATTAATTTTATCGGAATTAAAAGAAAAGGCAATCTAAAAACTCAACGCTGTCAACATCTTAATTCATCCCTCAATCCTTCTGGCAATTTCTTCGTTATCTGATAATAAAGTAACTTGGAATAATCATAAGCTGCTACAACAAAATCACTTCCTCGACCATTGATAAATTGCGCACCCACCAGTGGCATGTTTTCAACTCTTTTATTATACTGCCATTCAACCTTTAAATAGAGTGATGAAGTAAGCAGTAAGAGGGAAGTAATACAGAAATTTAAAACATCATATTTGGATCAGTGTGAGAGCAGCAATTCTACTGGGTTGCATGTAAAGGACTGAAAAGAAATACAGTTGTGACAATTTAGGCAGAGGTTGGCAGATAAAATAAACAAACTGAGCACTGAGCACTTGCTCAGTTTGCTTCCTTGTTATTTTTAAAGGGAGTAGACGTAATAGTAGTACATGCGAATAGGTATGAAAAAACTTTGAAGTATAATCTTCTGGATAGAATTTCTTAAAAAGGATAAAATGAAGTAAAAATTTCCAAAAACCACATCAAAGGTCATGTGTACCCATGTAGCCATAATAGACCAAGAATTACTATTTTAAACTATTTTCTTGAAATTAGCTACCAAAACAGTTTCCTAAGAGAGTGAATTTTGATTGTAACGAACTCTATAAGTTTTGGGCTTACGGATATGCAATTTCCATAAGTGTATCATTGTATCATCACTAACTGATAAAACCTGCAAAGATAGAAAACTATGTATATATATGTATAGATATTTATATAAACCATAAATTTATCGGGCGAAAAAAAAGACTATCACAAGCTAATTTGCTGCTTGTTGAGCAGGCTTTAACAGCATTTAACATCATATAAAATTTTATGCAAACTGTATTTCAAACTTAACTCAAATATGTTTCAGGCGATAGTAGGAAAACAAAATCATACATAAGCACTTTCCGGAGCTACAGCAATTGCATTTATTTGACGGACATGTGCATTCACTTCAGCCATTAACTGTCCATTCAATGTCGAATAAAATAATAGCTGACCCACGAAAGTGCCAATAATGACCTGCTTTCTTAATACGTTGATGCAATTGATTTCAAGCCTATTAAATAAAATATAGGTTAACTTCATGCATTTTTTTACGTAAGCAACTATGCTAATTAAAAACATGTCGTTATGATCAATTATGCCAAAATTATGAAGATAGAACTGAGTTTAATAATAGGTTCATTAGGCTTCATTAGACTCCATTAGTGCGAAAGTTTCAAATACAAACACTTCAAAAGATCCAAATCAAAAGCTACACACCCAGTACTGAATTTTTTCTGAACACTTTTGAAATTTTTGACCCAAACAGCGATATTACCCGAAACATCGCAAGAACACGTTAAATCATCAAAACGGCAAGTAGCTACATCAGCTATTGCAAAATCATGCTCCTGAAAGCTTGTTTAGAATAGTTACCACATTTTCATCCCTATGGAAGAAAGATTTGATGCAGAAATGAATAATAAAAAGGATGAAAAACCTGGACACTTCTTTTGAAAGTTACGGAATTTTCACCTGAGCACCTGAATACTAGCAATTCTCCTAAATGTGATCCTGAAAACAAAGCTTGAATACGCCGAAGTTTTGAGAATTAAATTGGAATGATTGCAAATTCTCATTTCTTTCTTTATAATCGCAAATGGTATAGCCTACCAACAGCTATCAAGTTTTCTACATAAGTAATTCCTTTTGTAAAGCGATATGTTTGTTCACTTCTTGTTGCTGGTTCTGAAGTCTAAAAAGATGTTTCAAGCAGATAAACAAGCTGAACTATACAGAAAGATTCAAGAAATTCTTTCAACAATGTTTACGAAATATAGAATACTTAATGATGACCTGGAAATCTTAGCGAGAAATACTAATTATTTAAACTACAGGATAGATGAAAAGAACGCACATCACTCATCTCGTTCCATGCAAGTAATTTGAAAGTTTTCACATCGTAAATCTATAAATAAAGAGATAGAATTCAGAAAAATCATTAGTAATTAAAAACAAGGTAAAGAAATAACCGGAGTTTCTAAAAACTTTAAAAATGTAGCTTATAAAAAAAATAAAGTCACCATTACTCCCTTGGAAGTAGTAATAACCAAAAGAGGAAATGTTCTGCACACTGGCGTGCAGTATTTCGCTTGCAGTACGATAACGGGCGCATCGAAGTTATTAGCTTTGATTGGCAGATTATTACATGTAAAACTATTCAGGCCTTGATCCCAGTTTAATATTGCAATCTGGAATTGATTATTGACCCTAATGGAAGATCAGTGCTGCATTCTTAACAAGAGGGAAAATTATTTCTTTGAAAATTTTTTACTTTCACTTAAAAATTCAATTTATTCTTAACTGGAATAACCATAAAGTCCGATGTATTTCATATATCTTTTCACCTTTTTAGTGTTGGTTGCACTCGAAAATGCTGAGCAAAGATTTATGGTTTCTATAAAATTATGTTTATTAAAGCACTGCCATAAAACCGTATGCTGTTATTGTATTTTGCGATGACCACAAATCTATCGTTAAAAAGGCAAGAAAAGTCAATTCAACTGACGCCAGTTAGATATTGAGAAGGAATTTGATAATAATCAATAACGCGATTTAACAGATGATTTTGCGAAATTAATGCTACATATGGAAAATAATTCATACAGACAATTGAAGTAATCATTATAAAAGCAATAGAAAGCATCTCTGCACAACATTAACAGGATATATAATATTTGAGAAAGTCAAGAAAGAATAACGAACCTGATCCTCATGTACCATACAAGCAAGAGTCAGATCTTTTGCTTCATGAAAGAAAACTGATAGGTTATTCGGTGAATGAGAAACGCTTCCATTAGACATTAAAATTTCTTGCCGCAATTCGAACATCTTGGATTTCACTTCAACACCAAAAGTTCTGTGTCCAGAGTAGATAATTTGCACACGAAAACAGGATTTTGAGGACAGAGGAACTAATATTGGGAATGCTGCTTTTCGTTTAGTTTAGTAGAAAAGTAGTGCAAATTTAATTCATGAAGAAATTCATTCGAGTGATTCCACTGCGTATAATACTACCTTGAAAAGTGTATAGGTTAAGGGAGAACCTGGGATTAAAAAGGTTACTATGACAACTTCAAATAGCATGAACAGGAAAAGCCATTCTCAACATTGTAAACAGGAGTCGAGATTATTTAAAAGGATTTGATTACAAAATGATTGTTGTATTACCACAAATAACTTACGCAAGTGAAGTTTTATTTCTTTAATATATATATTACTGTAGTAAAACCTGGAAAACATTTCTGGTATTCGTTCTTGCAAGCTATTAAGATTAGAGCGATAATGAAGTCAAACATTCTTAATCCACTTAAACTTCGTCTAGAAACCAGTTCTGATATGGCCACTAATAAGACGGCAAGGTGGCATAAGTAAGTAGTTGGAACATGCAGCTAAAGCGAAAAGGGATACTAGAGGTAACATATTCTACGAAATTGAAAAAGGCAAGCCAAGATGAATTTTAAGATGAAATAATTCACATGTATGGTAACGAAAGAGAAAAAACAATAATTTAAGGAAAAGTAAAAGCAAATGGAATTAGATCGAATTCAAACAAATATAAACTGGATGAAGACAGTACACTTGAGAGTAACTATAGAAAAGAATTGAAATATTAGTATGACAGAATATCTCGTTTTGACGAAATTTTAGCAAAAAAATAAGAGAAAATTAAGGAATCATGTCATTTGCGAAATCTAGTAATTTATAACGCTCAGGTCAGCTAAAAAATTGCAAAAAAGCCTCATAATTCAACAACTCTTGATATCTACATGTAAATTTTAACTGAGTTGATGGAAATTCAAGGAAATAGTGATGAGTTGACGAATAGGAAGAGATATAAAAATAATAAAATCAGTCACAGTTTGACTCAGAAAAGTCTCATTTTGAAATTATGACTAATGCAAGCTACTGAGTTGCTAAATAACTAATTTCAGAAAGATTAAGCGAATTTGCAAGGACAAAGAAAAATAGGAACATAAGGAAAAAATTGAACACTATTCTATCCACAACTGTAGGATTCGCAAGTTGAAAGAATCATTTACACTCGAACAGTGGCTAGCAGAAACAGATCCAATTATAACCTTCATTCACAAATCAATATTATATAAAGATATTATAACATTGACTTTTCCCGTCCTCGTAATTCATATCATCTTACTTAGACTTATTTTTTGATTTAATCACGAGTAACTTAGCACCTACAAAAAAGGTAACTTAATCGAAGGTCGCACAAAATGCTCTAGCAATAATTTTTGATCCTTTAGTATCTTAAGATTAAAAATTATGAATTCCTAAGGAATTCCAAATATATTTTTCAAAAGCTAAATCAACAAAGTTAAAATGATTTTGGTCTACCATTTCAGCTGCATCTCTCTCGTTCATTGCTGGATGATTCTGCATTTTCATCATCTTCATGTACTGGTGATAAAGTCATTTTCTCACTTGCTTCTTTCGTTAGAAAGGCTTTGAGACCTGATGAAAGTTTCCTTGGTCTTTCTTCTAACTGCAATTTTTCTGAAAGAAGCGCAAACTCATGAAAATTTAAAAAGAGGCCAAAAGGCATATAATCATTTAAAACGGAGGTTCACCCAGTGAACTTAAAAATTTTACAGAGAGGATTTCAAAAACAGGTAAATTTCTCAATTTAAAAAGCTTACCGGTAGTTGTTTCGCCTGGTAATATCAGGTTTGAGAATGATGACTTCCTACCAGTGCTCGTTTCAATCACTAAACTAAATAAACAAATTAAAGGTTCACTCGACAATTTTTCTGGTGTAACTGCTTCATAAAATATATTTGAAGAATGAACTACATGATAAAAACTGGAAATCTGAAATCGTACTTTCCTGCAAATCTTTTTCTGAACTTTTCCGATGCGAAAAGCGTGGTGCATTGGGTGGTGAAGCAGAATCAGGTTCGCTAGTAATTAAAAAACGAGGTTTTGCTGAAAGAGGCTTACAGTAGAATAATAAAATGGGAGAAATGTCTCAGTAGGCTTAAGGTTTCAACTAAAGAATCATTTTAATAGATATAATGGAGTTTAAAAAATCAGAAGAATCAGAAGACTTTCTTGAAACAATGAGATATAGCAAAATCATACAAGAATCAATATTGAAAGTAAGCGCATCACTATCGGAACTTTTATGCAATGCGATAGTGGTCTTTCTGGAGTGTTTATCTGTTTGATCGCAATTAGCAGCATCGTATGCTGTCTGTCGTCTTGTGCGAGTATTTTTGCAGTACGGATACGTCATATGATATGCTTCACTATCAAGTGCGTCAAACGAATTGCCCTGTAAATTAGCCTATATACTTCAGGGTTCAGCAGATTACAGATATCATTTACACGCATTGCCATCATCAAAGCATGAAACTGCTGGAATGACACACAAAGTACTACTAATAAGTTAAAACTATGAAGAACATCAGTTTAATTTCATGAAGTAAATACGCGTTGCAGTAGCATCTTTATTTGCTAGAGAGAACTTTGATGATTTTGCTGAATTATAGTTCTTTTAAATAGTGCTCATAATAAAGTATACAAGAGAAACAAATTGGTAACTCCTGCCGCATCTGTCCATCAGTAATAGGATTGTACTTTCCGTACAAAAAATGAGAAAAAAAGGACAAACAAACTTTGTGAAAATCCTGCCGTTTAGAAGATGAACGTGGTGTGTTATCAATATCTAGTAAATGTCGGCTGTATACACCAGTGGATACAGGCTAAAAAAAGAAGCATATCCTTAAATAATGGCGCAAATATCTAGAAACTATATTCTATAAACCTGAGTTGACTAGTATTATAAACCTTTTGTGATCACTTTCCAAAATGACTGTCTTAAGGAAGTAGTTAATAAGATAAACGCAAACAAGTGACTGGAAAATTAGTACCGAATTGAGTTCATTGAATTTATCTCTTAGAAATACGCTGATTGATTCATTACGAGGAATTTTCACTTGCATTTCAGCTAACACAGATAAACCGTTGGTTTCCAGATTGTTTCTTGTGTATACCCTGGTAAATCTGTTAATTTCTTTAACTTACGTTAAAGAAATCAAAATATCAACTAAATTAGAGAATCGTTCACCTAAACTTGGAGTTTGGTAGCATCTCTTTTGAAAGCATGAAAGAAAGTAAAATGTTGATGTACATAAATAAGCACACTTACTGATTGCCTAAGACCAGTTGTGAAGTTTCGATCGTCGCTTGTTCAAGATTCACTTTACTTTGTGCAGTTGGCAAACCGGCAAAACTACCATGTACTTTTAAATGCTGAACTGCTTCTTTTACCTAAAAATGAATTAGAACCATAAGAATAAACACTAAACAAATTTGAAACCAACTGACAGCATCTTACTTGAATGTGTTCATGATAATCAACCAAACGATCTGCTCCAGATTTTGCATTACTCATTAAATAGGGTTTTACGTAATTCTCCGCAAACTTATTGAATGCTTGACGGTACTGAAAAATTTTCTTATACATTCGAGAAATGCTTATTGGAAATAAAGCAATTTTAAACAAAGGAAATGGAAAAAGAAGCCTACCCAGTATTGGCCACGATAACCAGTTATTCCTTCTACACCAGTCATCATATTATCGATTACCTTAATGTGTTAGTACAAAGTACAATGCTGCTATTTTACGATATGGAAAAGTAGTTAAAGAATAACAAGAAAATTATTAGGTCCAAAAAAAAAAGAAAAAAATTTGGAACTTTTTTTATAAAACATACATTCTCGCTGACCATTTCAAAAACAGTCTTCTTGTGCACTTCGTTTTGTTTAACTTCTAATAATTTCACTAGCTGTTTTATTGTTCCACCCTGTCAATGAAATTATTTGAAGGAGTAGAATTGGACTTAACTAAAGGAAGCAATTTCAGCATGATGCATTTCTTACACGCTATGCTCTGTTAACATTTCAACTAATTTTATGGTAGAAGTGATATCAAAATCTAACATATTCTGAAAATACAATTTGTCATACCTGAGCAAAAACAGTGAATAATATGACAACAATAGTGCAGGATGCGAACATGTTTTTAGCCTTCATTGACTAAAATTTTCAAAACGATTTTGATTCAGTCAGCAATAAAATTCTCAAGTCCAGAATTGGGGAAATATAACAGAACATTAAAAAGTTATATATACTAATAAGGAAAAAGAAAAAAAATGAAGAGTAAATATAAAAAGATGGGAGAATGTGGTCCGAACTTTACTTTTTGAAATTTTTGGAACTGTAGAATCTTTTTGAGCATAGTATACTTTGTTACGAGAGAAGAACTACGACAATAATGATAAAGATATAGTTCAAATCAAAATAAAATAAAAAAACAGTTTGAAAGTAAACTGACTAAAGGGTCAAGAGACATAACGAGGCCATAACACACAGCACCTCGAATGCCGCCATAACTCATGATGAATTGATCAACCAGGTCAATTGCCTGCACTCGATGTATATTTAAAAGATAAGTAAGGAAGAAAACGCCTGAAGAAAAATTAACAGTAACATCCTAACGAAAAAAGCAACAATATAAAGCTTGATGCACATCATCTAAACACAAAAGAATTGTGTTAAGTGGAGAATAAGTAACTCAGTTCATTCAGTAGTAAATATTTAATTCTTCTGAAAAAAAATAAAAGAAAAAATGAATGATGTACCGATAAAGCGTTGAACAAGACAACTAATTAAAGTGCTAACAATGAACACAGCATCCCAATCGTGATTCTTTGAAACAGCTGATATACCAAGATAAACGAAAATTAAGGCCTCACAACTAAAAATTTAAAGATTTAAATCTATTTAGATAATAACAAGTTTATGTTACA